TGTCACAGGACTTGCTTATGAGATGGTTGATCCAAGAAGGGTTGGCGAATTAGCGAATTCAGAAATGTTGGCATGATAAGCAACCTTCTCGTGTGCATGCACTGACAGCTTTACCTCACCTCCTGAGATAATTAAGTGTGTATGTGTGTGTTTGTAAGAATTTACATATGGCTTGATCATCCATAACTTCTAAGCAGTTTACATAACATATAAGAGGGTGAATTACAGTAGTAATCAGATCTGTGATTACAAATCAGCCAGTGTGTTAGCAGGCCAAACAATACAGCTGTGTTCTATCAAGTAAGGGTTGCTGGAGTCTGAAGTTTTTATCCAACTAAATTATTGCACACAGAAAACGACTTCCATGAGCACAACAGCAAAAGCCCCTGTGCCTCCCCAAATCTGCTTTTGGGATTCTTCTTCTTCTTTTTTAAAAAAACTTTTATTGATAAATGCAATACTTACAAACACATAACAGAACACTAAACATACTTATTATATATATATACATACACCTACTTAGATTACAAAAAAAGAAAACAAACATACAAACTAAACATAGAGACATAAATTTTGACTTCCCTCCGCCTATATGTGGCTTCCTTTGTTTCTTTTCTTCTTTTCACTGTGTTATCAGTATTATTTTTGACTATTTCATCTTATACCCATTTCTTCTTAATTTTTTACTCTATAAGTTTCATTCATTGCATATTGATATATTAATACCAGAACAATGTTTTTTGATGTATTCCTTCCAGTCCTCTATCAGTTTTTTGTCTGATTGGCCTCTTACCACTGCTGTAAGTCTTGCTGATTCTATATATTCACAAAATCTTATTTGCCATTCTCTTATTAAGGGAATTTTTTCTCCCTTCCAATTTTTTGTTATAATCATTCTGGCCAGAGCGGTTGCATATAAGAAAACTTTTTTCCTAGCGGCAGGAATGTCAACAATATAATTCCCAAGAGGTACACCTCTGTTGTTGTTGTTTTGATATTTTAAGCATTTTTTAAAGTTCCTCTTGGATGTCACTCCAAAATTGTTTAATATACACACACTCCCACCACATATGATACATGGTTCCTATCTCTGTTATGCATCTCCAGGACAAATTAGATTTTGATTTATAAATTTTCGCCAATTGGACCGGGGTTAAGTACCATTGATATATCATTTTCATTATATTTTCTCTGATTGTGACGCAGGCTGTGAATTTGATATCATATTTCCATAATTTCTCCCATTGGTCTAATCAAATTGTGTGGCCTATATCTCTGGCCCACTTAATCATAACTTCCTTGGAATTCTTCTATCTCTCTGGAGCAGAGTTTGGAGTGAGGTAGGGGGCGCAGGGGAGGGGCAGGGAGAGGTAGGGCAAGTTCAGTTATGCTTGCATGCAAAGATTTAGTAGGATACAACCCTAAAATGCAGAGTAGGTGCTCTAACAGACTGTGCCGTGGAGAGAATGCTTTCAGAACCTATTGAGAACCGAGCTTACATTTCTGAGGTCCCTCCTTTGTCTCCCATGCACGCCACCTGCCAAGAAAATAAGCCCATTTTACAGAATTTTCTCTAAATATTCTCAACAACTATTCCTCCCTGCAATGCTTCGGAATGACAAAGGCGTTTAAGAGGAATTAGAATGGTGAAAGGGCTGCCAATGCAGTTCCTGGTGGTGGTAGTTGCTGCCACGAGTACCATGGAAGTGTCTTGGAGGGGATGCCTGGATCTGGAGGACGAATGGGAGGAGGTCAAGGAGTTGGACCTGGACAACCAAGGGGAAGGTCCTAGCAGAATGGTGGTGGTGGTGGTGGGAGGTGTGAAATCAGGACCCCAAGAAGTGTCTGAAGCCAGTATTCCAGGAAATGGAAATCTGGATCCAAGGGAGGGAAGAGGCAAGTAGGTGGGAGTGTTCTGCTCCAGTGACACAGGAATTGTAAGAAGCAGGCCTGAAAAGAAATAAAATGCAAAGGATGGTGGAGCACTTCAATTCAGCCTGCATTTGAAGCCAAATCAAATTCCAAAACAATCTGCAAAATGGAGCACAGTTACCTTTCAAAATTCACACTTATCTGAATTTTGCGGTCCAGTTCGCCAGCCAAGTAATGGCAAGATCTGTGAATATATTAGGGATAAAAAGGAAGGTGTTTGTGAGAGTAGCACACAAATCTGCATTCTAATGGGGGAAATTGCTTGCAAAAATGGGTACATTAGTCAAAACTGGATATTAAAATGTGCCTCTTAGGAGAAATTCGCACTAGAATGCTGATGAATTTTCATGAGGTTTTTTTTTTAAAATTGCAAATGACTACAAAATGTGGAAAACCAAATTTAAGACTGGCAAACTGAAAACAGAGAGAACTAGATTTAACGGATCCAGGTAGCAGTCAGTGGGATGCAATTCTGTGCTGAGCAATAATGCATGCAGGATAACATCAGAATGAGGCCCTCCCAGCTTATGAAGGCTTCTTAAGACACTCCAGAGGGCCCATCAACAAAGATACAGAATTTTATTCCCCCTCTAGCTCCACAGTGTCCTACTGTTAACGTCTTCTTTTTTAAGTCCTAGCAGGAAAACCCAGCAGGAATCCTGACCTTTCGAAATATTTCTGTCTATGTCAATGGATATCATTCTCCCTTGTTCAGCTCCATCTTTGTGGGCCGCTTGTCAAGAAGGTTTATAAATCTAATGCAGCCTTTGGTAGCTTAATCGGGAGAACAAAGTATTTGATAATGAAAAAAATGACATGAAATAATGAGCGTTGTTGAGTGAGGACTGCGCATGGGGCTGGTTAGTGTATTGAAGAATCAACCCAAATGTTCAAAGTGACAGAGTGACATTTTTCAAGAGCGGTTTTGGGCGACTGCTTCAGACAGGTGACAAGACAGCGTCTTGATCAGATGGTAACCTTTCATTTTCTGTGGACAAGTGAGGTCCACGGGAGAAAAAGGGCCTGGGAGAAAAATCCATCACTCAGCATGCGAATGCAAAGTGGCACATGAACACACGCTGACAGGCCAAGGCTCGGCCCTGTCCATCAATGTCGACAAGCAGTTGCCACTCAAAACCCCCGACATATGTTTCATAAACTGCGAGGCGTGCAGGCCTCGGCGATTGCCATCCGACTTGTTGCTTACTTGCTGGTCCCGGTGCAGGAGGAAATGAGCCCATCTCCTGGGAAGCCAATACGACAAGGGGACCTGGCCTCCAACTGTGCGTCTTGGAAAACGACAGGACTTTTGTAGGGAGCTCACAGGGGCAGCGTCAAAGCTTATCAGCCAGTTGAGAACTTTGCAAAAGGATACAGCCTTTCAGCTTGTGATCATTTTCTTTTCTTTTGGAAATAATTTTTATTTGATTTTACCAATAAAGGTAAAGGGACCCCTGACCATTAGGTCCAGTCATGGCTGACTCTGGGGTTGCGGTGCTCATCTCGCTTTATTGGCCAAGGGAGCCGGCGTACAGCTTCCGAGTCATGTGGCCAGCATGACTAAGCTGCTTCTGGCAAACCAGAGCAGCGCACGGAAACGCCGTTTACCTTCCTGCCGGAGCGGTACCTATTTATCTACTTGCACTTTGACGTGCTTTCGAACTGCTAGGTTGGCAGGAGCAGGGACCGAGCAACGGGAGCTCACCCCGTAGCGGGGATTCGAACCGCCGACCTTCTGATCGGCAAGTCCTAGGCTCTGTGGTTTAACCTACAGCGCCACCCACGCCCCTGTTTTTACCAATACAAAACTATAAAAAAGACCAAATATATATCCATATACAGAGATTTCTCCGAATCTCAGGACTCCCCCCCCCCGCCCTTGGAGTCCCATTTTACACATTTAAAACTGCATCATGTTCCAATCTCTAACTTTTAAGTCAGTCCATATTATCCATGGTAATTATTACACTACAAGTGAAATCAAAATCCTTCAGTGTTTCCATTTGCTTACAGTGGGCTCTTGGATAACTTATAAAATTTTCCCATTCTTTTATAAAGTTTTTGTCCTCTTGGTTCCTGAATTTTCCAGTCAGCTTTGCCATTTCGGCGTAGTCCATCAGCTTGCTTTGCCATTCCTCTCTTGTCTTCTTTCTATCTCTGGGCTAGTAGCATCCAGGTAGTGGCTGTTCCATACATAAAGAGTCTTTCCTGGTCCTTTGGGATAGTCGTACCTGTAATTCCTAATAAAAAGACTTCTGGTTGTTGTTTTTTAACAAAAGTTATTTTAAACATTTTTTCCCATTTCATTATATACCATCTCCCAGAAAGCTTTTATCGCCTTACAAGTCCACCACATATGATAAAATGTATCTTCTTTTTCTTTGCATTTCCAGCAGGTATTTGTACTCCTCTTATACATTTTTGCCAACTTTGCTGTTGTTGTTGTTGTTTAGTCGTTTAGTTGTGTCCGACTCTTCGTGACCCCCTGGACCAGAGCACGCCAGGCACTCCTGTCTTCCACTGCCTCCCGTAGTTTGGTCAAACTCATGCTGGTAGCTTCAAAAACACTGTCCAACCATCTTGTCCTCCGTCGTCCCCTTCTCCTTGTGCCCTCCATCTTTCCCAACATCAAGGTCTTTTCCAGGGAGTCTTCTCTTCTCATGAGGTGGCCAAAGTATTGGAGCCTCAGCTTCTGGATCTGTCCTTCCAGTGAGCACTCAGGGCTGATTTCCTGAAGAATGGATAGGTTTGATCTTCTTGCAGTCCATGGGACTCTCAAGAGCCTCCTCCAGCACCAACTTAGCAGGAGTCAAATACCACCGGTACATCATTTCCATATAATTTTTTTTCAAAGTAAAACAAGCCATAAATTTAAGCTTGAGATCATTTTCTATGCTATTGTTAAGCTGCTCGGCACATGCTAGGATACCAGGGGAGAGAAGTGGCAATATTTCAATTTGCCTAGGGCAGCAAAAGTCCACGGGTCAGCCCTGTTATTAGAATAGAAAAGGATTTTTAGCTGCAATCCACAGGGCAAAACACTACCAGGCAGCTTATGATAGATTGGCTGAGCTGTAGCTCAGTTTTATAGCACATGTTTTGCATGCAGAAGGTCTCAGGTTCAATTTCTGATAGCTCAATTTCCAAGTAGCTCTGGAATAGACTCCATCCTCAAACCCTGGAGTCCCACTGCCAATCTGTGTTAGCCATACTGAGCTAGATAGACCAAAGGTGGTCCTAAGCCAGTGTGGAGAGCCAGTGTGGTGTAGTGGTTAAGAGTGGTAGACTCGGAATCTGGGGAACTAGGTTCGCTTCCCCGCTCCTCCACATGCAGCTGCTGGGTGACCTTGGGCTAGTCACACTTCTTTGAAGTCTCTCAGCCCCACTCACCTCACAGAGTGTTTGTTGTGGGGGAGGAAGGGAAAGGAGAATGTTAGGCGCTTTGAGACTCCTTCAGGTAGTAATAAAGCGGGATATCAAATCCAAACTACTACTACTCTTCTTGTGTTCCTAGATAGAGGGCATTGGAAGAGATTCAAAGGAGATGGAAGCTGGATAGATGAGGAGCAATGTCAGAAAATGAACCAATACTGTCAGGAAGCAGACAGGCAGAGCAGATCATTTGCAGGTCAGAGAGAGAGAGAGAGAGAGAGAGAGAGAGAGAGAGAGATGCCTGACAACTTGCAGTTAGTTTCTTTATTATGAAAAGCAAAACAAAGAACACAGGGAGACTTCTAATGGGTAAACCTGTCTTAATGAAGAAGTTGTTCGAATTGGCCCTCCTTCACTCCCTGGCCCTCTGTAACAGGTCCCTCCTTCTGTTTACAGTGATTTCCACGGCACCCTCTCTATGTCTGCCTCTCTGCTTGGCAACATGCAACAAAGGCCTCATTCTAGGAGTGGAGAGGAGGCATCAAGCTGTCAGCAGAGAAGCTGTCAGAGTGGCTCTGAGAGAGAACTGCAGTGTCTACCTCCCCTCTGTCATTGCTGTGGCACCTGCATCCAAACTGGAAACATCCTCTGCCCTGTCTCTTTGCTATTCCTCAAGTGCCCTGGTTCTAGCGCTTCCCAGCTCGTCGTCTCCTCTGAGGTGTGTTCCACCACCAGTTTCCAGGTTCAAAATCCTCTTCCTCTGGTCCTTCCCTGGGGGGTTCTTGGTTGGGCGGATTCTACCACTCTTCCTCATCCAGCCAGTCCCTGACAAGTACTATCTAAAGCAGACACTAGTTTGAACAACAGGTCTCTCTCTCTCTCTCTCTCTCTCTCTCTCTCTCTCTCTCTCTCTATCTCTCTCTCTATCTCTCTCATCTCTATCTCTCTCTCTCTCTCTCTCTATCTCTATCTCTATCTCTATATCTATCTCTATCTCTATCTCTATCTATCTCTATCTCTCCAGTGTGGTGTAGTGGTTAAGAGCGGTGGACTCGTAATCTGGTGAACCGGGTTCGATTCCCCGCTCCTCCACATGCAGCTGCTGGGTGACTTTTGGCTAGTCACACTTCTCTGAAGTCTCTCAGCCTCACTCACCTCACAGAGTGTTGTGGGGGAGGAAGGGAAAGGAGATTGTTAGCCGCTTTGAGACTCCTTCGGGTAGTAATAAAGCGGGATATCAAATCCAAACTCTTCTCTTCTCTTCTCTTCTCTTCTCTTCTCTTCTCTTCTCTCTCTCTGTCTCTCTCTCTCTCACACACATACACGTTCCAATTATCTACAAACATGGAAACATAATTGGGCCCATCAAACCCACTTAAAAAATGAACAACAAGCCAATAATTATTCATTATTAATCACAAGCAGGGAAACTTAAAGGAAATTTGGCATAGTTTTATGCATTACAAAATAGCTTCAGATGGAAAGGCAAATATTTAAGAATTTCAGTGGGAAAGGAGTTCAAAGAAAACATATTTCTACATAGGTCATTCTGTTAAGTCAATGTTGCTGAGCCTTTCCATGAGGGAAATACAACAGAAGCTGGTATTCCATGAGTATTTAAAACTAGCCTGACAACAGGGTGTTTCCCCCCCTGTAATAAGATTCAAATACTGGAAATGTAAGGCCCTTTGGGCTGAACTTTCTCATGCGTAGTGAGAGTGTCAATTGGTACAAAATTATTGGAGACAAATATTGAAACTAAGAAGAATGGGCCTCTCCCATTTTCCGCCTGGCACAGAGTCCCCCCACCCCTGTTTTTTCTAATGGCCCATTACCTGATAAGTGTTATAATTTAATCAATGCTTGGAGTATTTAAAAGATTGCCAGACACTGAATTTAGCAAAGTATAGCCCAAACCAGCTTCCCATGCTCAGGAAATCACCTGGGAGATCAGCCATTAACAAAATGGCCCATTACCTACCGTTTGTATTTTGTTAATGGCTGATCTCCCAGGTGATTTCCTGAGCATGGGAAGCTGGTTTGGGCTATACTTTGCTAAATTCAGTGCCTGGCAGTCTTTTAAATACTCCAAGCATTGATTAAATTATAATACTTATCAGACCCAGGGATTTAGAGGAATCTGGGACCCACAACTCATAACAATCTCTCTCTCTCCTCCACTCCCCAACACAAAATCTCTCCTGATCTGCAATGAATATACAGTGGTACCTCTAGATACAAACGGGATCCGTTCCGGAGCCCTGTTCGCATCTAGAGGTAAATGTAACTAGCGACAGCACGTCTGTGCATGCGCGCGTCGCTTTTTGCCGCTTCTGCGCATGCGCGTGACGTCATTTTGAGTGTCTGTGCATGTGCAAGCGGCGAAACCCGGAAGTAACATGCTCCGTTACTTCCAGGTTGTCGCGGAGCGCAACTCAAACGCGCTCATCTCGAAGCGTATTTAACCCGAGGTATGACTGTATATGAGGGACGCGGGTGGCGCTGTGGGTAAAACCTCAGCGCCTAGGACTTGCCGATCGTCAGGTCGGGGGTTCGAATCCCCACGGCGGGGTGCGCTCCCGCTGCTTGGTCCCAGTGCCTGCCAACCTAGCAGTTCGAAAGCACGTCAAAGTGCAAGTAGATAAATAGGGACCGCTTACTAGCGGGAAGGTAAATGGCGTTTCTGTGCGCTGTGCTGGCTCGCCAGATGCAGCTTGTCACGCTGGCCACGTGACCCGGAAGTGTCTGCAGACAGCGCTGGCCCCTGGCCTCTTAAGTGAGATGGGCGCACAACCCTAGAGTCTGTCAAGACTGGCCCGTACGGGCAGGGGTACCTTTACCTTTATGACTGTATATATCTCAGCAAACAGGAGGAGATATTTCCAGGACAGTTCTTAGTAAAGGATGAATCAAACTCTTTCTCTGCTCACTATATGGGTACAGAAGATAGGTAAAAGGTAAAGGACCCTGGATGGTTAAGTCCAGTCAAAGGCGACTACAGGGTGAAAATTCATCAAAATAACAAACAAGGTAAGGTAAAAGACCCCTGGACGATTAAGTCCAGTCAAAGGCGACTACAGGGTTGCAGCGCTCATCTCGCTTTCGGGCCGAGGGAGCCGGCGTTTATCCACAGACAGCTTTCTGTGTCATGTGGCCAGCATGACTAAACTGATTCTGGCACAATGGGACACCGTGATGGAAACCAGAGCGCACGGAAATGCTGTTATCCTTCCCGCTGCAGTGGTACCTATTTATCTACTTGCACTGGTGTGCTTTCAAACAGCTAGGTTGGCAGAAGCTGGGACTTAGCAATGGGAGCTCACCACTGTTATGTGGATTCGAACCGCTGACTTTCCGATCGGCAAGCCCAAGAGCCTTAGGAGGGGAATGGGGAAGCAGTGGCTGAAGAGGTGGTAGAAGGAACTCGTGGGGATCAAGCAAGGTCCTGCCCCAAACATGCTGCCAGCAAGAACTTCCTCGACCCGCATCGCCTCATGAATGAACGATTCCCTGTCTCCATATGTAGCTGCTCACACCTTAAGATCCTTTTCAGAGGCCCTTCTCCAGGTAGCCCACCTGGGTGAAGTGTGCAGTAAGTGGCTACTGGAGGAAGGACCTTCTCAGTGGTGGCACCTCAGCTATAGAAAGGCCTCCTCAGAAAAGCTTGCCCAGAACCTACCGTGTTACCAGGCAAAGACTTACCTATTTTCCCAGCCAGAAAGGAGCAATAGGTGGGTGGGAAAAGTTTTAAGACCCCATCCCTCTCACCCACCAGCTTCTCCTTACAAATGCCCCTACATCAGCCTCTGCATTAGCAAAACATGGAGTTGAGAAAACAGTGTTTCCATTGTGTGAGCTAATCCCACCTTAGGATACTGGGCTAAGTTGGTACAATAGTCTGACCCACTTTTGCTGTTAACTACATTTGCAACAACTTTGCTAAAGTTCCAGGAGAACTCCTTTAAAATAAAAATAAAGCACCCGCATACACGTTCTGCAAGTCCAGCAAAAGTTCTGTTATGCCACCCGCTCTGCACTCCCCTCCCTCATTTTACCTCCTGGGGATTTTCCACCACTACACCAACTATTACAGGAAGATATATATTTAAAAATCCACTTCAAGGGCTATATTGTAAAATCAAATCAAATAGCCTCCGGGTCCCTGTGCTGGCTGTTTCATCTTCATAGAAGCTGAAATAATTTTTATTTTTTTTTAACCATACTGAGTGGGGAGGAAGAGTTCTGCAGCCAGCACAAAGGAGGAGCAGGGGAAAACTGAGATTGTGTGAGGGAGTTCAGTGCCCCCCTGATGGGCTTGAGAATGTACAGCACTAAGAATAACCGGCCACTGCTGAGAAAATGGTGGCCCTTGTGTCAATAATTGATTAACAGCCATTGTCAAAGCCCGGTTGGCACATCTGTCTTTTCTCAATAACCTCTGAGGCTCTGAAATACAGGACGGAAGCAAGAGAACATGCCTCTCTGCCATTGAAATTGGTGCTCCCGGGATATTTGCTCTGGACAGGGTTGGGCACGGGTGACAGCAAATCGCAGCAGGCGTTGCTAGTTCCTCTCAATAATTCATAGGTGTATGGATGACTGGGCGACCTTTGGGAGATTAACGAAACAGAAAATACCAGAAAGGATCTCTCTCTCTCTCTCTCTCTCTCTCTCTCTCTCTCTGTGTGTGTGTGTGTGTGTACACACACAAAAGGAGAGGCAGGGATTTGGAGCATTAGTAAAACAAAATGTTAGGCTGAGAGAAGCAACAGAGCAAAAGAGGACACAGGCTCTCCAGCAGAGATCTTAACATTGGCTGCGGTGAATTTCAAGCAAAACATTCCTAAGCGATGTAGCACGGGCAAGGTCCTTCTGGGAAATGGGATGCCAACAAGGTGACTCAGTACATCATCATTATTATTATTAGTTTATTAATGTATAGGTTTTTTAAAAAAAATATAATTTTAATTGGTTTTCCAAATTATTACAAATCAGTCCAAATTATTTAAATTTAATACAGTTTCTTTAAAAAATCTGGTTTCCCGCTCCAGTTGCAAACATATGTCCAGTATTTCCTGATGTAGCCACTTCATTCTTCTTTAATCTCCTATTCATCCTTCTCTTGATGTTAGTCCATTCTCTCAGCTGACCTTTATAATTTCCTTACATACAGCACCTCTGTTGCTTCTCATAAATATAAAATCCATTTCACATCCATTTCCATTTCATAGATGTTGTTCCCAGACCTGGTGTGTTGAAAGAGTTAATTGCCTCTCCCTTGGTTCGGTTCTCTTCAATGTTTACAAAGTCACATTTCATTGCTTTGAGATAATTCCTTCCGCTGTTCACCAACTTGTGGCTGTAGCTATAAATAACTCCCAGACAAGATCTCCAATCTCCCCCATTAAAATTCCACTCTGGCGTTCTTCCTCAGCACGCAGTTTAAAAAAGAAGTACATTTTAGACCAGGCACTCACAAACTCAGCCCTCCAGATGTTTTGGGACTACAGTTCCCATCATTCCTGACCACTGGTCCTGTTATCTAGGGGTGATGGGAGTTGTAGTCTCAAAACAGAGCCTAGTTTGGGGATGCCTGTTTTAGACCATGCAGGTATATCAGCCAGGAAATAGAGAGAGCCAGTTGGCTGATAGCAGGCACTCATTTGCTGTTACAGATAGAAGTCAGGAGATTGGTGTAAGGGGCTGGGAACAGCCTCCTGCTGCTGGTACCACTGCTGGTACCAGTCACTACTGGTACTTGGAGGCCTTTTCCATAATAACCTATAAGTATTGTTGTTGTTGTTTAGTCGTTTAGTCGTGTCCGACTCTTTGTGACCCCATGAACCAGAGTACGCCAGGCACTTCTGTCTTCCACTGCCTCCCGCAGTTTAGTCAAACTCATGCTGGTAGCGTAGCTTCGAGAACACTATCCAACCATCTCGTTCTCTGTCGTCCCCTTCTCCTTGTGCCCTCCATCTTTCCCAACATCAGGGTCTTTTCCAGGGAGTCTTCTCTTCTCATGAGGTGGCCAAAGTATTGGAGCCTCAGCTTCAGGATCTGTCCTTCTAGTGAGCACTCAGGCCTGATTTCCTTCAGAATGGATAGGTTTGATCTTCTTGTAGTCCATGGGACTCTCAAGAGTCTCCTCCAGCACCATAATTCAAAAGCATCAATTCTTCGGCGATCAGCCTTCTTTATGGTCCAGCTCTCACTTCCATACATCACTACTGGGAAAACCATAGCTTTAACTATACGGACCTTTGTTGGCAAGGTGATGTCGCTGCTTTTTAATATGCTGTCTAGATGCTTTAGTATTGTACTCCTTAATTAGGCTATCTAACCCAGCATCCTGTTTCCAACAGTGGTCAACCAATGACTCTGGAAGGCTACAAAGGCAAGCAGCTCCTCTCCATTATTTGTCACCAGCATATTGTATTGAGAGTAGGGATGGGGAATTTGATTTAGTTCTCCTTTAAGGGTGAACCTCCCTAACCCCGACTTTCCAAAACAATGAGATTCGAAAGTTAGCCATCTTTCGAGATTCACACTTCTCCAAATTTTGCACTGCAGTTCTTTTGCCAAGCAATGTGTACAAAAAAAATGTATACTGTGGTATATTCTGGGGGTAAACAGTCCATTAGAATGCATATATTACTGAAAATAACATACAGGAATGCATTATATTACGGGAGATTGCTTTGCAAAAATATGTATACTAGGAAATTTTTTATACAAATATTATGAGAGATTTGCACTAAAATGCTGATGAATTTTCATAAGGACTTCTTAAAAAATAAATCTCAAACCAATGTGGAAATAGGAGAACAGAACTAGAGATATACCGTATATGAACATGCAGATTCCATTGGATTTTCCTGGCTAATAGCCTTCTGTTCAGTTGGCTTTTAAAGCCATGAAGAATTAAACAATTTTCACCATACATTGTGGTAGTGAATTCCGTAAGTTAATTATTGCTCGTGAAGTCATCTGACCTGAACCTACTTACTGCCAACTAATTTCATCAG